AGGTGGTTGACGGGTGCTCTGGTGCTGCTTGCTTCTTCTGTCCTATAAAACATCTATCGTTCTTGTCTTTCCTTTTTCTTTGATTTGTATGTTATTATCTTATAGTAACACCTCTAATCTTCGGAGCCTATATGACCTAATTGTGTTTCAAGATCCGTAAGACTCTTACTAAAACTTTTTTTTTTTACTCCCTTGCCCATTTCTTTGAGAATGGCGCCATCTGATTAATAGAAGGAGGTGCGTAAGATAGTTTTCTATAGATTATTACGTACATAGGTGCAACTGTTACAGATAGAGATTCAAGGAATACAGGTGTATGTCAAGGATCTGAGAGCAATGATGATTTTACATATAATGATGGTGATGGTAAATGAAGGTGTCTATGTAAATACTTGTAATTATTGAGGAAATATTCGTTCACTTTCTATCAGCTGAGCTTTTTTAAATGTTATTTTAGTCCTATCTTCTTCTGCTTCATTGAATCACGAGGGACGTGGGCACTCTTTATCCTCAGTACAATGATTTTATTTCTTTAAAAAATGGACTTATAACCTGTTATTCACTTGCCCTTTTCTTTAAACAATGGACTTATAGCCTGTTATTCACTTGACCTTTTCTTTAAAAAAATGGACTTATAAACTGTTTTTCACCTGACCCTTTCTTCATAAGGAGGACTTATGATCCTTAAAAATAGACTTCTAACCTGTTATTCACTTGACCTTTAAAAATGGACTTCTAACCTGTTATTCACTTGACCCTTTAAAAAATGGACTTATAACCTGGTACTCCCTTAACCTCTTCCTTTGTGACCAGGACGAGCGTCGACGAGAGCGCATCGTGAACGCCCTGAGTGAGTTCCTCCCCATAGACAGGTACGGCAGGTGCGGGAACCTCACACTGGACTGCCCCCAGGACTTCTTGTGTGAGAAAAGTCTGTCCCAGTACCGGTTCTACCTGTCTCTTGAGAACGCCGTGTGCACTGATTACGTCACCGAGAAGTTCTTCTTGCCTCTACAGCGGAGACAGATACCAGGTGAGGTTTGTGAACCTTTAGAGGATGTAAAGGGAGACAGATACCAGGTGAGGTTTGTGAACTTGTAGATGACGTAAGCAGAGACAGATACCACCAGGTGAGTTTTAAAAAAAGTTCTCGTAGAGGTTTTACGGCGCTCGCAACTGCGCAAGGTCATATGAGCGCCAGAAGATTAGAGATGTTACAAGAGAGTAACAAACATAAAAAAGAAGAAGGAAAGATAAGGACGATAAATGTTTGATAGGAAAGAAGAAACAAACCACTCCAGAGCACCCGCCAACCACCCACCAGATGAGCTTTGTGAACTTTTAGATGACGTATGCGTAGACAGATACCCTATGAGCTTTGCCAATTCTTAGATTACGTAAGCGAAGACATATACCATATGAGCTTTGCCAATTCTCAGATGACGTAAGCGAAGACAGATACCATATGAGCTTTGCCAATTCTTAGATGACGTAAGCGGAGACAGATACCATATGAGCTTTGACAATTCTGAGATGATTCACGTACATTCTCTGGTTATACAACAACTCTTGAAGACGCGCAGTTTGGGGAACGTGAATATCTCTGTTAGTTACTCCTGCAAATTTATTCATTTATGGGTTATTCCACGTAACTGACGGGTAGAAAAATACCCCATTTGTCCTGTTGGTTACCCAAACTAAACACGTCACAGAATTTGCATAAAGTACTTTTATTTTCTAATGACTGCATTTAATATGTCTTTCAAATGTTCTAATGATCTATAGTTGAAATATAATTAATTGATATTGAATTAATTGAATTACAGTATTATCATTGTAAGAAAGTATAGTCCAAATGTCTTGTCAATTACCGTGGAATAGCCCTTATTTTTTTCTGTCCCTGCAGCTTTAAAAGACGGACAAAAACCAGCATATTGTACGATAACGTGTTTGTGTTTCTGATTTGTGCACGATCGTTTGAATTTGCTAAACAATTGCCTTGGTTTTCTGGGCTTATATGATATATTTTTGTGGCAAATACAGTAAACTCTTACTAAAACAAACAATCTAACAAAAAGAAAAACCCAAAACAACAACAGAACCCCCC